ACCTTCTTATTTTCTCTTTCTGATATTTTGTCATCAGTATGTAGAAACACAGCTTATTTTGTATATTGATTTTGTAGTCTCCATGTTGACTGAATTCATTTATTCTAACAGCTTATTGGTGGCATCTTGAAGGTTTATATATATATATATATCATGTCATCTGCAAATAGTGACAGTTTTACTTCTTCCTTTCCAATTCAAATGTCTTTTATTTCTTTTTCTTACCTAATTGCCCTGCCTAGGATTTCCAATACTTTGTTGAATAGTAGTGGTGACAGTCGGTATCCTTGTCTTCTTCCTGATGTTAGAGGAAAGGCTTTCATCTTATTACCATTGAGTATGATATTAGCTGTGGGCTGGGTCATATATGGCCTTTATTATGTTGAGATATGTTTCCTCTATACCCAATTTGTTGACAGTTTTTATGATCTTTTCTCTTTCAATACTCAAATTTACTTCTTTTAAGTACATAAGGCCCTTGAATTACTCCTTTAGTTGTACCTTATGTTTGATAAATTATTTTATATTTTAGTTGTTTTAAATTAAATTTCCATTATAATTTTTTTGACCAACGAATATTTGAAGTATAATTTTTAATTTTCAAACATTTTCAGGGCTTTTGTTATAGTTGAGATTAGTGAGTATGGTTCACATAATAGTAGTTTCTTGAAATCTGCTGAAAAATGGTCTAGAATTGGTCAGTATTCCAATGATTGGGGCCTATGCTCATTAGATTATGCTTGTTAATGGTTGTTCTGGGAGTATGTATCCTTTCTTATTTTTCTCTGCTTCATCTCTTTCATTGAGATGATTTCTTTCACTGTTGTATTTGATTTGTCAGTTTTTTCTTGTCGTACTTAAAATTTTTGCTTTCTAGTTTTGAAGCTGAGTTAAAACATGCGTCTAAGGGAGGCAAACCATAAGAGACTCTTAAATACAGAGAACAAACTGAGGGTTGCTGGCGGGGTGTTAGGTAGGGGGATTGGCTAAATGGGTGATGGGCTTTAAGGAGGGCACCTGTTAGGATGAGCACTGGGTGTTATATGTAAGTGATGAGTCACTAAATTCTCCTGAAATCATTATTACACTATATGTTAATTGACTTAGATTTAAATAAAGTTAAATTTTTTTAAAAAAAATTACCAAAACTAAAAAAAAAGATGCATCTAAATTTTGAATTCTTAGGTTTTCCTGAAATAATGAATTTTTTTATCACTATGTAGTAGCCATAAATATGTAGTAATTTTTTATTCCTTAAAATCCACTTTGTCTGATATAAACAGAGTCCCACCAATTTTTTAGGTATTTTTTTAGTGTATTTTTATCTTTTTTTAAACCATATTTCATCTTAACTGACATGCCTTCCATTGTAAATGCATCCCAGTTCAGAGATATTACTAAGTGAGAAAATGGTTTGACAGCAAGTAAAATGTCATCAGTTGTATGCTGTATCCTGATTTCAGTATGTTAATATATGAAAAAGCGTACAGCAGGAAGGTACGAAATGGAGCACTTCTAGCCTTTCTATATCCTTATTTTTAAGTGTATCTTTTTAAAGTACTATTTAATTAGAAATTTTTTAAAAATTTCCATTGTAGTTGACATGCAGTGTTATATTAGTTTCAGATGGACAGTATAGTGACTTAGAAGCTCCGTATATTGCTCCCTGCTCATCAAGATACACTTAACTGGAATTTTTAAAATCTAGTCTAAAGGCTTTGTCTTTCAACTGAGGTGATTAGGACATTTACTAATATATTTAGATTGGTATCTACTGTTTTACTCTTTGTTTTGATTCTGTTTTTTTGAATTTCTTTTTCTACCTTCTCTCCCTTCTTTCTCCCTCTTTTTGTATTGATTTTTTTCCTCTCCCCCTATTTTATTTCTTTACTAGTTTACAAGTTACATACTACTCTTCTTTTATTGCTACTTCATTAATTTTAATATGCATATTTAAAAGTTAAAGTCTAAAGTTAATACTTTACTATCTCTCCATATAAATGAGGACTTTGTATTGTTTTAACTCCACTCGTTTTGTTTTTAACATATGCTACTACCATCCAGAATCTTAGGTCTCTCATTGATGTTTTTAAAATTCCACAAAGCAGGCATCATTGTTAGTGTTTCATTGCTCTCAATATTTGTTCAGGTTTACCCATAAACTTAAAAATTTCTTTGATCACTGTTTCTTCTTAGATCATTGTCTTTTTCTTGGAGTATGATCATTAGAAGTTCTTTTAGGAAAATTTATTCGTGTAACTCTCAGGTTTTAGTTTTCTGAATATGTGCTTATACTGCCCTCTTTCTGGGAAGATAATTTTGCTGGATATGCTATCCTGGAATAGCAGTTATTTTTTTCTTAGCATTTTGAAAATCTTTAATTATAATTTCTTCATAGCTTCTATTAATTCCCTCTTCAATTCTATCTGCTTGTTTGCTCATCCATTTAATTTTTTTAATGTCAAATATAATTTTTTACAAGTTCTATTTGTCTATTTTTCAAAGCTGGAGCTTTATTATCAGCCACTGCTTTATTTTCTCTGGTCCACCAAAAGCCTTGGCTATGTTAGGCAAATTTCCTCTGGTGTGTGTTTATTTATTAGTTTGTTTTCTAGATCACTGACTGAGAGCATCTTCTTGGTAGTTAGGACCTTTCTTTATGTGGAGGCCTCTGACTCATATTGACAACATACTTGGACCCCAGACTTAGAAGACCAACATATGCAAACACGGATCACGGAGAATGGAATGTATATCTTTCTTTGATACTTATACTGTTTTCCACCATTATATCTATGTTACCCCATGAAATCATGATTGCTGACCTGGATTTCTTTTGAGTCATATTTTCTGGGTGTGCTTTCCATCTCTTTAAGGTTAGTTGTTCTGTATTCATATGTATCTTATAGACAACTTATTGTTGGTTCTTATTTGTCTTAATAAAATTAAACATTTGGCTTTTGTTATTGAATTTAACCCATTTAAGATTTTTATAACTTATTTTGTATGAGGGATTATTCTGCCATCTTATTTTTTGTTTTGAATTTACTGCATTTTCTTAGTTTGCCGCTCAATTTGATAGATCACAGGTTGTTTTAATACTTTGAAGATTATGCAGAATATTTTTATTTATTTATTTATTTATTTATTTATTTATTTA